TTTCCAGTGCCGACTTCGGCCCTATTTTGCCCGCTTTTACCATATATTTGGCTATAGTTTTGACGTCCGGTTGTGGGGACTCGTCGTCCCCTTTTGGTAATAATAGCTCTTGAATGCCGTGAGCGCTGAGCCGTCCCTTCCATCTCTCAGTGACGGCCACTATAGCCTTGTGTCCGTCCCTTACGAGTGCACTCGCAATACCGACGCAGTAGTTGAGCTGACCCTCACCCATAATCGGTATAAATAGCACGGTCAATATTTTGGCCATTTGTTTTAATATGTATTGTACAGAATTTAATTAGTGTAAAATATGTTTACTGCTTACAACTTTGTAATAGTAAATGAAATATGTAATAATATGAAGAACATTTCTTATTTGTCTTTTTAGTAGAGTTTATAAAAACAAGTATAGAGAATAATAAGTGTAATCATGGTGATTTTGCAATATATGATTGGTTTAATTTATATGTATGAGTTTTATATAAATGAATATTAAGTTTTAAATTTAAGTTTTATTTACTAAATTGTAAGAAATTTTGTATATACGGTAAATGAAATTGTAAATAAATTTTAAAAAGTTAGAATTAAAATTTTTATTAAATGCTAACCAAACATATGAACCAAGTTTTGAATGTAATTTTTTCTAAAACTTTAAAAAACGTTGAAATACTTATGAATGAAATTTTCACTATAACTATAAGTTATAGTTATAGTCAGCAAAAAAAACGCTTTTAAAGCTTTATTCACAGAAAAATATAACTTTAGATACGAGTAATGTTTGATTCATTGAATGACTCAATGCTTTATTAAACACAACTTTAATATTTATAATAAAATAATTTATTTTTTCTGTGAATAAAGCTTTAAAAAGCGTTTGTTTGCTGAGCTTAGTTATAGTCTATATTATAAACTCTATAACAATTTAAATATAATAAGTCTAAAGGTATGACTCGTAAAAATATAGAAATGAAAAGTTGTTTTTCAAAACTTTTGTATTGTTTATATAATAAAATTTTAGCCTTCAAAGAATTTCCTAAACAACTGAAAAATCATTTGTAAATCCTGTTCTAAAAACAAATAAAAATAAACACGAATTAATATTAATATTTACATGCTACTCACGAACATTTTAAGAACATCGTCAGAACATTTTAGTTGTTGTAGATTAATCATTATTTTGTAATATCAAATTTTAAAAATAATTTTTAATTAAAATATTTTCAAAATACTTTTTTCTAATTTCTAATTTTTAAAATTTGGAAGAATTTATACTACATTTAAAATATGATTTATTCAATATCAATAAGAATAATAAAGTTTACATATTTAGAATAACTTTGATCAATAAATTGCATTTATTTAATTGAACATGTTAGCTTATATTTTGTAATTTTTAAGGAATGTTTATATCAGTGTTGGAAATGCATAGTAATCTGCAATAAATGTTTTTTACAGTATTACTCACAAATGTACTTCAAATACACTTACAAACAATAACGGGTCCATTAAGTATAAATATAGTGCAAAAATTAAAGATTATAAAAAAAATTAACTATGTCCTTTCATTAATTAGGAATGATAAGTTATCAATAATATATAATTGCTACTTTGAAAGTTGCTTAACATATTATATTGGTAATCACAGTCGTAATCAGACAATCAATTATGGCACATAATTGAATGCAATAAAAAGTGCTTTAAGTAAAATTATTAACAGTGTTTGTAATATAACTTAAATAATAGATTGTATTCTTAATAACTTCCGTAATGTAAATTATTAATACATTATGTAATTATTATTATTCAAGATCAATATACGGTAAATGTTTATTGTAAATTTCTACTTTAAACTTCAATTATTTGAGGTTTCATCTTGGTTAATACCGTATAATATAAATAACTATCTGTAGTTAGTTTTTTTAAAATGATAAATTTAAAATAATATTGTATTTTCAAGAATTCTTTTTAATATTTGTTTCAAAATTTGTATTTAATATTTATATTTAATATAACATACATGTATGTCATGTAACATGTTAATATAATTTAATAAATATATTTAGTTGGTTTTAAAAATTGATAAATTCAAAAAAATATTGTGTTGACAATAATCTCTTTATTTCTCTAAAACTACAACTCATTAAAATAATACATTTTTTGAATAATCATTTTAAATATATTTCTGACGATTAATCACATAATCTTCAAAAATTTTGGGAAGTTTTGCGATACTATTATCCGATTGTATTCTTTGCGATATTTTCCGCAACTTTTCATGAATTTCCGTATCGTTCAGTAGTTTTTCGATTGCATTCAATAACTCTTCTTCTGAGCACTTGTAGGCATCGAGTCGTATACCAAACCCCTTGTCCTCCACTCTCTGCGCGTTATCGTATTGATCACCAAATAGTGGCAAAACAATCATAGGTTTACCAAAATATAATGTTTCCGTCACTGTATTGACCCCTCCGTGGGTTATAACCAAATCAACTAACGGTAAGACTTGGATCTGAGGGACAGACCCCTCGCCCCACATATTGTCTGCCAATTGAAACTCGTTATGAAGCGGTCCTTTCGATACAATAAACCTGTGCTTAGATTTGAACAAAATATTCAGTAATCTCTTCATATTGTCCACATCTGCCGCACCCATAGATCCCAATGAAAAGTACACAAATTTTCCCGGTCTATCCCTTAACTGCAGGGGTATTTCAAACTTCAACTGAATATCTTTACGCATAAAGTTATCAAATCGTATATAATTCTTAGGCAATGGTCTGATATCGAGATAATCTAATTCTAACGGAAAGGCGTATAAAATGAGACAATCAGTGGTTTGAATGAAACTATTTTTAGGCAATGGTTGACAGTCTTTAGAGACGACATAAGCGTTGTATTGTTTCCACGGCTCGAGTGTTGTATTTCTCTTTACTTCATAAAACTCTTTCCATAACTTCTTATTCCCAAAAGCGGACAAACCTTTTATTATAAGAAACATTTCAACTGATTTTAAGTTTTAAATATTATAATTCAATTTAAATATGCATAATTTTATGGTGCATTATTATTATATACGTAATTGTAATTAATATTAACCTGAACTGGCTGGAGGTGCCTTATCATCAGCTACCAAATATAGAGGTCCATTACAACAGACCCATACATAGGGTATACCCGAACGCATCACTGATGGCAATGACATAAACTGATCAAATACTATAACATCGGGCGCTATTTCAGGCAGCAATTGAGCTATTTGTTGGTCCAGACGTTGAACGGCATCGATCCTATCGG